CGTAGAGAGAGATATCGGGACTGATTACCGCCCTCTATCCTTCGGAACCAGGTTGTGTTCTCGTTGGTTTAGTAATTAAAATCAGATCTCTTGGGTTCTAGAAACCCCTGCTGTGCCTCACAGCGTCCCGTCCGAAGTGTCTAGTGAAGGTTCAAACACGAACCTTACATTCATCCACTTCTCTGAGATCTCTTAGCGAACGATCAACACAGTGAATGTCTGCCTTGTTCTGCATAGATATCTCATCCCAGACAATAACCTTGCAGTCTTTCAGTCTTCTTGAAACCGCATCCCGCCCCGAAAAGTTACATGTTGACGTGTCGTTTGCGTTCAACGGAATCTTGAAACCTGAATGCGCCGTGATTCCTTTGTACAACAACAGCGCAGCTATTCCCGATGATGCGACGGACAGAAACGAAACCTTCATCGCGTTGCAATAATGAAGTATTGTATTTAATGTGAACGTTTTGCCTGTACCGCCAGGGCCGTCGAGGAACAACATGCCACCCACTTCCGCTTTGATCTTCAATCTCATCTCCTCAAAAATGGCCAATTGTTCGTCGTTCATTATTTCAAGTTTCTCCATCACGAAATCACAACTCGCTTGCGTGGAAAAGTCTTCCTCATCGCAATCAAAAAGCATTCCATAACCATCAAGGCAACTCAGACTCGGTTTTGCTAAAGCCAAAACTGTCAAGTCTAGTCCAACCTCCTCTAAAGCTCGCTCCAACCGCCATATACCGAGTTCCAGGATCATGTCCGGTGTTGGTTCCACGTCTGGAATAACTTGTTTCAGAGCATAGCCGCAGTCGTCGCACATCGGACCCGAGAACATGTCCCAAAGTCGCCTCGGATTGCTTGCTGGGCCAAATTTGAGGATGAGCGCAAACATCGAGCGCAATTGATATCCACCTTGTGTTTGTGAACATTCTTCCATCGTAGCAATAAAGTGGTCGTCATTCAATAAAAGCCCCAGCGCCGCAGCCGCCCCGTTGAAATTTTCGTAAACAATGCCATTCACTGTCCGAAGATCCTCAAACAATCTTGGACCTCTGACATGAAAGAGTAAAAGGCGCATGAAATACCGATCACCCTGCGAGATGCTAGCAAAATAGACTCTTGGTATGGTTTTAGATTTATAGGTCCTAACACACCATTCGTTTACGTCCGTGTCCCAACGGAAGTAATAGACCATTTCTGGATATGTAAGACTTCGAACATTGATCTTTGCCTGCACTAAATGATAGTTGATATTGCACAATGCAAAGAATTGAGTCAACGGCGTTCTTGCTGCTTTGACAGACTCGAGTCGATTTCAAAGACCCTCGATGGTGCGGAAATAGAGAACGTTGTCCCGAGGCATGTGAAGCGGAAGTCGTTCTACGGCAGGGAATCGTGATGACATATGAAACATGAAGAGGCGCCAACACGCTGTAGTCATTGAATCAGTATCATAGATATAAACTGACACCAAACCGATTACTTACCTTCAGTTCCAGTTAAGCTCCGGCCATCAACATAGATATCCAACTCGTTATCAGCTGACATCGCCAGTGACACTTGATCATGTCCCTTAGTTATATATTTATATAAATATTTCAGCGCTTGTATACTTACAGCCACTTCAACGTTTATATGACACTTATATTTCATCAACAAAAACGGATTATAGGGAACGACGTCCCGATTCGTGTACGTGTGTCCGCCTTTCACATAGCTTCTTCCATTGTCTCGACGTTGATATGCAGGATAGGACTCGTCCGTCATTTGAGTGTTTTCGACAAATTCTTTCGGAAACCCCGCATTGCACTTGTCGTTCTTCCAGCATGGGCTGTCGGAATTACATGGACCATGAAGCATAAATGATGTCACTAATTCGAAGAGAAGAGGTTCTGACGCTGGATCGGGGAGCTCCGCACGGACGATGAGGTCAATTGCCGCCGGCGTCCGAGGCGCACCGCCTTTGGCCATGATAGGAATAAAGTGTGCGTGTGGTCTACCACGATTCTGGAATTCGATCGTAGAAACGTGCGATATGCCTGGTCCCAAGCGGCCTTTTTTGTTGACATCGTGCATCATTTCCTCCCACTTCATGTTGAACACTCTTGTAATTATATCTGGTCGATTAATTGCACCCTGGCCGTATTCAAGACATGATTGAACCTCTTCCCAATTGTCGTTGGCGGTCATTGTGATAAAGAAACTCGGTTGTCCATAGTGCCTTACCAATGCCATCGCATCATAATAGAGCTGCGTCATGGCTCTTGGACCCCCAATGTGCGAAGACGGCAATATAACTTGACGTCCAAATCGAAAATCGTTCCGGCCAAGTGACTCGACTGCCCCAGAGTATAAGTCGGAACGAATGTCGTCCTGATGAAACCTGAAGTAATCGATACATTGATTTTCGACGCAGGCGTATAGATCTGTACAGAGCTCCTGAAGCAACATGTGCGACGATAAGATGGTGGAGAATTCATTTGGCCGCTTGAACAACAGGTAGGCGAACCACGACAGTGACGACACCTTCTTACCGTTATCTATTATCAAGTCAATCAGCTGAATTCAAACCTAAGTAAGAGAAACTAACATACTCTGTGGATGTGGGACTCTGTAGTATTGATCGTATCCAGCTTGGCCAAACGGAAACAATACCGGATAACGCAATGGAAGGTATCCAGTGTGGAGTTCCGAGACGCGTTTGAAGCCTCCGTCAACACTATGTAAGATTATGTCCCGACTTGCATCTCCAATGTCACCACCCCCACCTATGATCATTGCCACTTCCGTCGTCGATGGCCTTGCATATGTCCTGATGTCATGCGCTGGTTGTCCTTGAGATGGCGGTGGAACTGTCTTAATTCTGAAGGAAATACTACCGTACTGTTGCGAAATATGATAAGCGTTTCTGAACTGTATGGCGTAGGGATTGAATTTGTAAAAGAATTTCAAAAATTGTTCTATATTCGATGGTTCGAGTTCGGCGCGTGACATGAAGACCCTGTGATCGGCTTCGTCGCTGACATCCTCACCCATTGTGTAGATCTGGGCGAAGCCTGGCGCCTCATTGTCTGGTGGAAGTAAACTCCCAGCATTATGAATCAACTGTCCAGATATCTTGAAGCATCGCACTCCATAGGGACCATCTACCGAGCGATCGATTTTGGCACCTAATGAGGTAAAGCTCAGCGCGTTGTTGTAGCTTCAAATGTTGCTTCGAAAATTCCGAGCACCTGAACAATGATACATCAGTGAAGGACTTTGTATATTGAATTAACGCTACTTACGATTGCTGTCGGAAGTGAGGAGTTCAACGATGAAAGGAGGCGCAGCTGGGAAAGTGAAGTAATGTTGTGGAAGCGTCACTTGTCCTTTCCGACAACACTCAGTAAACGATCCTGCTTCATGCGGCTTCAAATTCGTAGGCTGTTCCTGCAACCAATGAAAAGAATGGCATTTTGAGCAGATTTCCGTACAGGGTCCAAGGTTATGCGGAATTTCCGTGCTAAATCGTTTCAAAAGATACAATTCGTGATTTTCCGCCGGATACGAAGCTGCTCTTTGTGATGGTGCCATTGCAAATTGTCGTAATCGATTGAGACTATTTGTTGTGCTTAACAATTGAGATATAGTCGATAATGTCAGCTTGTGTGTTTAAATAAATCTGCAGTGTAACTGTTGCACTGCGATTGAGGATGACTTTGGAAATAGTGCCAGTTGCGGAAGCAATATAGCGTCGGTCTAGCTTACCTGGTCCAAACCAATGGAAGCATGTGCACCGATATTTTACCGGCCAGTCGTTCTCATCCGGACTAAAATTCCCGCCATTGTGATAAAACTGATTCAGTTGAGGACTCGATGCAGGAATCTCCTCACAGTGTCGAAAACTCTAAGGGAATGTTGACTAAGCATTACGGACGGCATTCGGTTGTAGGCTGACCGAGAAGTGATTTCTCTTTTCTGAGCCATTGCCTTTTCGAGAGATTGCCGGTGGATAAACACCGGCAATCGCCGGACCGGCATTGGTTATTGTCTCTATCGTTAAATGCAACTCTTGACACCTTGATCGTTCTAAGCCCAAGAACTTCGACATCGAAATGGACACCAACAACGATCTTCCATTCCCTTTGCGTATTAGTGGTGTGTTCCACCTAGACAATGCCGTAAGTGTCTATGTCGTTGAGGATGTTCCAATACTAATGAAAAAATATTAGGTTGAGGGACGCCGGAACGCGATTGTTCCACTACGTTACTACAGTGCCACAATCATCATGACGGACGACTCATATTTGCCGAAAACGATCTTACACTACAAAAAATGTCATCTTTTCCCATGGGATCAGAAAACCCAAGGTAACATAGAAAACTGAGACTATAGTTTTCTAATCTCATGTGCGGATATTTTTATTCTGCCTGGTTGAAACCATTTTCAGGTTATATAATTCTACTAAATCATAGTAATCTCTATCACCAAATTGAATAAGTAGCCTCTTGGGTCTTGTACGTGGAGAAATGTAAACTAGCGCACATTTGGTCCCCCACCCAAATGACATGATGTATACAAGTGCCAAAAAGTAAGAAGAAGAATGAAGTGTCAAACTTGCGGAATTTGAGAGCAGATTGACTTCAAGGAAACAATCTATCATGTTTGAATTTCAACCACGCCGTGTTTACATACACCTCAGCAATCAGATCCAGGGTTTCCTAATCTGAACTAAGAAAACCCCGACTTAAAATTGAACAATTGCAATAAGCTCGCATGATGGACGTCTTATCTTACTATCTGGAATAGAAGAATATGATCAATATTTCTTCATGCTAGATATATTGAAGCTTGATCACGTATAACATATTGAACTAATCATGAACACAATACAATACTATAGTACATAATATATTGATTGTAGAAGAGGCTTTGACTCCCAAAATTCAAGCGCTCTTCGATATTCTTCTCAGTCTATGAGTAGCTATGAATCTCAGAATCTAAACCCGCCACAATCATGCTGCTCGTATTGGTGATCCCTGTTCCAGAAGGAAGTATGTCTGCATATAGTGATGTATTTTAAAGTGATGGAACCAATTAGCAGAACTCAGCTGACAATGATAATCACAATTCATACATCAAAAGTATATTACGTATCTTGCAAAAAGGTTCATGTCTTGCAGATGTTAGCTGACAGTCATCTTTTATAATTTCGATCCCTTGTCATGGAGGCGGAATGACACAATCAAAGATCTAGCATCTATATTTGTACTTAATCACCTTCTATCAAAGTACACTCCGCACTCGATCAGTCTCTTTTCGTTCCCTGGTACATTGATCAGGTATGTCATGTTTTATGTTTATAAACTGATGCACCTTCCATCAAATCTTGCCACGATGATTGTAGGCTGACATTTTCTCATACACATCTTGCGATACTCTTGGTAGCGGTGGAAAAAGGTCCCAGCACACCCGATATTTCACGATTGATCATGACTGCGCTTGACCCGGATGCAGCAGGGGTTGGCAAACAAACGATGCTGGATTGGTTACGTATCAACCATCCAAAGGAGGTCATCCGTTGTGGGTTAAATAAAGCCGAGATAGCTGACATTGTGCGAAAGAAGCAGCCTGATTGTGAGTAAAAAATTTACACTTATAGTATATTATATGTGTGTGTAGTATCAATCTCAAAGGTGGACCTATCTTTAAACTGTTCTCTTGAACCGGATCTCCAGTATTTCCAACTCCCAACCTGTCACACTCAACCTCGCCGTCCAGCAATCTCAAACCAAGCAAAGCGGGAATCCGATCAATCGAAAAGAAACCTGTCGATCTTGTTGGGCCAGCTACCTCAAGTTGCACCGGATTACCTCATGAACAACCTTTGACTGACCCACAATCTGTTCCAAAAAAACGAATCGAACTTACTCCGGGGGCGACAGTTCGCTTGGGCAAACGAGATGGCCTCCTCTGAGACTGAGCGTCAATCAACATCTAAGAAGCGAACACCAGGTAGGGTAGTGATACAATAATGGTCTCTTCTGGTTTAGATATCTGAGTCATTTTACTCCCTGTAACAATATAAAGTACCACAACCCGTCAAGAACAGCTCCAACAACATTGCTAAGCATCAGAAGAAGGTTACTTTCATCCACGCCTCACCTTCTCAGTCTACTGACACATCTGTGAAGTGCATACCAACTTCGGAAATCGGTGATGCTGATGATAGACAAACAGAATTCTACCCACTTGAAAACTCGTACACCACCAAACTTACAAGCACTTCATCCCCCATCCCCAAATCCGGCCAACCGTACATCAATGCAGCTCTGTTATCTCATCGCCATAAAAAACACCATACCCCTCCAATGTCGCCAAAACCTTCTTCTGAAATCCAATCAAATACTTTAATAAGCTTGACCACCGATGAAGATTTTACGTCACAAGAAAGAAAGATACCTCAACCTCGCGACTTGATGGAGTTCTCCGACCTTGATTTGTTTGAGACCGAAAATACATGTAAGCTACCTTCATCCGGTCTATCTCAATCACCATAACAACTGCTGAACATTTTGATCATCATATTCTTACAGTGGTTGGACGAGACATACCGCCCATTACCAATACTCCACAAATGGTTTCTGGGGTCGATATTTTTCTTTTGGAGAGACAACGCGAAGAAAAAGGTCAGTTCATCATATTGTTGTTACTCATGATCCCAAGCTGACACATCAAATGCTATGAAGTCTTATCGGTTGAGGAGGCTATAAACGACTTGAAATCCCAGGTTGAAAGATTTGATCCTTCAAGCATAGAAGACAAACAAATAAATCAAGGTATTTCTTACCCGGTTGTCGTCATGTAGTATCATATGGTCAATACTCATACATTGTTTGACAGACGAACAAATAAAAACCCTTCAAAAATCAATGGCTTGCCTCCAAGACAAGCTTGGATCGTTTGATGAATTCAAAAAACAATTTACAAGGTTAAATAATGAAGTAATCAAGTTGCGCAAGGAATTAGGTGAAGCTTTCAACGAACTCCAAAAACAGGAGGAGATAATCACAAAATTGATCCAAATGGGAGAGCAAGAGGAGGAAGATGATTACGAGGAGGAGGATTCAAGTTAAATATCCTACATTATCAATGTATTACAGTATCTGATTGTTGTTATCTTTTGTTGGCGATGATGCTGGAAATACTAAGCTGTGTCCGTGGTGGTCATGATTTTCGTCATTTTTTTAAATTTCATCATGATTCATCATCATCCTTTTGATTGAGATTGCACGTGGTGTTCAAGTCCCATCATTTATGAAAGAAATGTGTGCTTTCTTGTTCATGTCTTTTTCTCTATTGAAATCAAATCGTCTTATTTCATCGTGTTCTCCTCTGAATCATATATCTTGTGATAACAATGATTTTTCTCATTAATAAGTAGACGTCGTTGTATAATCTTGGATAATCATTATATCGACAAACTCAATGCACGAGACGTTATAAATCCATTTGAATGTTATGGGTTGGTTTCTTACTTGAATGGTCATGAATTTTGACCTTTGGATATATGAGTTGATTTAATATCATGCCGAGATTTTATTTTGGTTCTGACTAGAAACGTCTGTTTGATTTCCCTTTGACTCAGATCAGAAACCATTTGATCCTATCACTAATTGTGTCTATTTTTTGTAAAAATAACGCACTTCTTGGAAAAGCTGTACTAAGACTTTTTGAATGGGCCTGTCCCCAACTAAAATTACATGTGCTTTCATTATCGCATTATATATAATGCATAATCCTCTGGACTTGTTTGATGCTCGGACACGAATCTTCGCCTCATCTCGTGTCTCGCACTTTCTCTCTGCCTTTTGAAAGCACCATGGAACCATGGTACATTCACAACATCAACGTATTCACTTCGAATGCATTATAAGCTATCATATAAGCGCTTCTCAAGTACCCAAGCCGATGTCTTCCGAAACCCTCATAATAACAATCAAAAAACCGATTCCCAAGACATCAACTTGGACAGAACTTGGAAGTCCAATATTTCTGCTTCATACCTTTGTCCACGCTGATAATTAGAATACACTCTGAGAGCAAATACAGGCACTTGGACTTCAAAATATCCAATTTTGAAATCGGACTCCTGATCAGCACCCACATTAAAGGCACAATCGCTATGATTCGCATGGGACTGTTGTCAAGCTTCTTTCATTGTTACACTTGTTAATGTTGACTTACGTTTCTTGACACTGATGATGCTTTTGTGATTATTGTGTTGTCAAGATAGGTTACCAAGAGTTTTCTCGGATGATTGATGTCAGCACTACAAAGCATCCATTCAAGAATGAACAAATAGCCGGACATCATCATGATTCAATAGAAACGTCCAACGATCTTATAATAATCTCGGATATCAGTAATCTGACCAACTCCAAAACTCTCACTTACTCTCACTCTCATCCTCGCAGACTCATATCTTTTATATTTGCTTTCATCCTTATACAGTATCTGTGATACATATACACACGCTTCACACGCGGGCTGTTGGTTCAGTCAAACCTTTACTTCTCAACTTTTTACTCATTGATTATTACAATCCTTTCTCCAAACCCACGTCTACATACCGATTAAGACACAGCTATTGTCATGCCACGTGAGATTATCTCTCTACCCCAACCTAGTCCCCGCAAGCTACGAAGTCGTGTGGTGCCGAAGAAAAGGACACCTAGTGATCAGGACAGCACATCATTAATACGTAAGTTCAAGATCATCACAATTTAACTCAATAATCGACTGACCTCAAATATTAATGTTGATTCCTCTTGAAAAGCGGCAACGAGCAGCGGCCCTGGTCCGATTCACAATGCCTTGCAAAATGTAGGTGTCAATGTCGGCGCTAACACACAACGCGACCGGTTGCTTGCGATGCTTTCTCGACATCTGATCCGGAAGAAGCCTCGAATGTCTGCTGGCATTGTTCCCGATATCACTCCGAAGTTTAGTGGTGGGAAACCCCCAAAGCGAGATACACTTGACTGTAACCCACTGGACGAGGGCCGATTTCACACACCGCGGAATGATGTGAATGAGTTAAACGCCGATGGATCCTTTTCTCAATTTGGCGACCACGACCTTGTGAAAATGATCAGGGGAGTGGGAATAGATGCCGAAGGTTGGGATCGAGAGAAGCTCATCACCACGTGTCAAGAGTACAACGAGCTGAGTGAGAAAATTTCATCTTTTGATATCTTCATCCACATTCTAATCTGACATCCTTTTTTGATTCAGTCGTCATCCCCGACAATCTGAAAAAATTCTTTGAGCTGAATGGAGTAGTCAAACAACGCGAACTGGACCCAGGTGAGTATATACAATTCTGAGTAATGATTCGGTTGGATATTCAAAATCAACTTTTCTGTTTATAGTATCAAATGTATTGACTCCTCAAGAACTATCCAAAACCGTATTTCCATCAACACGTGCGTATAAAATTGTTTGATACTTACCCAGGTCTGACAATCAATTGTGCTTGGTATATTTCGAACTTTCAGAGCCGATAGTCCCATTCGCTGGTCCGTCCGACCCAAGTAAGTGATTAGTATCTCAACTTTGGGTGATCTGTTTCCCTTTTCTGACAGGGTCGTGGCATATTTAGGCGTCAAACTAAAGAATAAAGAGGGATATAAAGGAGGCAAAGGTAAGTCCGCTCAAAACTCTGTTTACAATCTACAACTGCACACCCACTTACCCAATGCACTGACCAAATGACCTGGATCACCCTAGGCTCAAAATCGAATCGTAGTGGGCATACTGAAGAAGGGAAAGGTGATAAAAAGAAAGACAAAAATCCTTTACGAAAGGCTCAAGTGGCTACTGGTCTATCTGCTGAAGTCTCGACTTCATCACTCCCAAGCCTTGAGCACAATCAACTAGAGTATAAAGTTTCTTACCTACAGCCTTTC